TTTATTTTGCCGATTGCTAGCATTTTTTTCTGACTTCCATAAAAATGTGTGAAAACGCAACGTATCGTGGCCGTACATGCGTAAATGCATCTTACCGTCCGTCGGCACGGGTGAGTACTGATGCCACAAATAAAAATGTTATGGATTTTGTTTTGACAAATTGTCTGTTTTGGCTTCGTGGGCAAATCATCTCGTATATTTTCTACATTATAACTCAATTATGTTTTGTACTTGCTCTTGGTTACTCGAATTGCATTTCATGAACGCAGAATAATTTGCGAACGCATAAATCACCGATTTCAAACTTCTTGCATTTCGTAAATATTGATAGTGACCAATCTGTATTTCAAAAAATTGTAACATGTTCCAATTATTAAAATTAAATTAAAAAGAGAATAGTAAATAACTTAGTGTGTATTGCAGTTCATGTCATAAATGCGAGAATGCTGTATGTAAATGATATGCAAATTTATGCTAATTAGGCCACCCACCAGCTAATTTGGATTGTGGAGAACACTGTAGTTAACACCTCTAGCCAAACCATACGGCAAACTGACCATGCTAAAATTTATTATTATGCCAATATAGCATTAGACAACCATCTTATTCACTAAGCTTCATTCCCGAGAAATTTTCTTAGTGGATATGTACAAAAACTGAGAAGCAGTTACACAATTCAAGGCATTTTTTGGATACAAATTCACAAATTATCTCTGTACCAAAGTTGCTTAGAAGAAACACTGACATTTGGCATCGGAGGGGGGGGGGGGGTATTCTTGTTGAATGCAACGCCAGCTACATCCAAATCTTTTAATTCATGCCTGCTTAGTATTTATAGCAGTAATTCAATACATAATCCAGTGGTTGATGGTATCAGATAGGACCAAGTAGTGTCATCAGTTTAATCAGATGGATCACTCGATTTACTTTTACTGTCATCATACTACCATCAAAGTAAAATGCAATCCAGAAAGCTAGTACTAGTATTTTGAATCACCTCAAGTGTTCATTATACAGTGCAAATATGCATCCTAGCTCAAGTGAAGTGAAGTGAATTTTCAATTACCTGCAAATGCCTTGCCAACACAAAAACCATATTCTGAAAAATATGGGTCTATCTGCCACACCATTCCAGGATTCAGTCTCTGGGTGGCTATAAACAATGCAAAAATATGAATAATAGAAATGGGGAGAAAAGAATGCAAGTGGGCTCAATACAGCTAAAACTACAAATTCAATACTTCCATGAATTTCAGTCCTATCGATCCAGATAAATAATCATCGTGATCATTTGTCCCTATCTAGTTTTCATCATCAATACATGGAACGAATTGTTGTAATGTGCCGTAAAAAGAAATCTTGTTCATTTACCTTGCAATGTTTGCAGTTTAATCTACTAGAAGTCTTGAGGGAGAAATTGCAATGGCAGCATCGATGTATGGCCGACATTGTCATTGTGAATGCTTGAAAATCCATTGCTGAAAAGACAATTATTTCACTGCTCACTAAATGTTCAAAATACCACACAAGCAAATAAAATATTTTTTTCAGTGCATTTCCATATATTCAGTCCTATCGATCCATAATAATAATCATTGCATATTATAAATCATTTGTCCCTATCAGGATTTCATCATCCATAAAAATAAAAATGCATACTGAAGTAAAACACGCTATATAAAGCCACGTGGACTTAGAAACCCCGGGAATATCCCGAAAGCAAATCCAGAAAGTAGTTTCACGTGTACAATTCACGAAACTGGTTGTGGGCAGGAGTGTTGTATCTGGCGACTTCATATATAAACATGCGTATACACACACCTAGAGTACAGCGATGGTCGCCATTGCTCGTTTAGTTTACACGTGTCGGAAGGGACGCCATCCAAAATAATCCGAAACAATCCGTAAATAAGAAGGGCCAGTTTTTCTTGAAATTCGTATACAAGCGTTAGATGAACGTTTAAAAATTCTTTTTGAAATGATTTGCTAAATATTCCGACTAACATAGAGACTGCAAAAAACAGTGGTTCCCCACGTGTGATTTGCCAAACTGATGGATGATTTGCGCATCGAATTATGCACAGCACAAAAGTCTCATTTGTACCTCTCAAAAATGTCACTAGTCAGGTTCTAGTTTGCGAGGCTGTCCCAATCAACTGGAAATAAAAGTAGGACAACTTGTGGGAGGAATTTGAGGGGAAACTCCGCTTACCACATCAAGTTCCGTCAGTAAACTCAGCAAGACTGTGAGTCCAAGGCTTCGAACGTTTATATTCAACCTTGGTCAAGTTGTGATTATGTAAGACAAGCTCTGATTGGCTGGCATACTGTATGCAAAACATGACGATCTGTATTTTTTGTGTGTTTTTGCATCTACTAGTTTTGTTTCACGTTTTTTCGTTCTGTCTATTAAAGTCCAAATATTATTTTAGTTTTTTGTCGTAGATAATATGCGAAACACATTCATTTTCTATTTTGAATGAAAACCTCAGATGGTAGGTAAACCAATCAGAAAGATTGTTATATACTATAGTAGACAACCAGCTCCGTCCTATTTCGCAACTACCCGAAGTAGATTGAGTGACTCGGCCATAATCGGACTACGTACCACATATATGAAAACTTTTTTTCTTTATTCTAAATGGCCTAGAGTATGATATATTTATTCTGGTCAAATATGCATATTCATAGAGTTGTTCAAACCAACAAAGGCACCCGCTGTGGAGTGTCGTCAGCTTTTCGGAAACATTCGTCAGCTTCCGGTAAATGGATTCGTCGGTTTTCAAGACATGACGTGTACATAGTTGGGAAAGACGTGTCGAAATCACGTGGTACATATTAGCCAATAGCCCATAGCCAGCAAGCCGGGTTTCGACCAATCAAAAAGGGCCACGACCGGCCATCCAAGTAAAAAGCAACGTGAGTGCGCTACAGCTGACATTGAATAGGAATTGCAGTTGTTGATGAGTTGCTGATTTAACCTAGTGTTTTACCCAAGCCAGAGTACATATTTTAGTAATCGGAGCATTTTAAACCCACGGATATATATATATACTACAAGTTACAGGTTGGTTTTTTTTTTATTCATATTAATATTTTGATTATTATGTCTTCCGCGGCATTGACTCTGCATTGAGTTTTCTCTTATTCTACTACATACTGTCTACATAGTCAGCAAAAAAGATGATTTTTTTTCATAAATTTTAAATAATTTAAAATTTAAATAACTGCCCAACATTTTCTTATGTAGCTTGGATGTGACCAATCAATCAGGCTTTCGATTGTGTCGGAATTGTACATGATTTTAATTGTCTGTGGGATATTTTTTTTCTTGCCTACACAAATCGTTTACCAATTTACTACTACACCAGACTGACTAAACCAGCCAAACTATATTTCGCAGTTTTGACCCAATGAATAGTCGCGGGGTTTACAAAAAGAACCTACACTGGTGTTATTGCAAGTCTTTCATTTTTGTCCCCATATTGTTTCATCTTCAGTCGCCCAGCGAACGTTCCAGTAGTTTTCATTTCCGGGTGTGTAGTCTTTTTACAATTCGTGTCGACATAGAAAATGCCACGTAGTCGTGGATTATTACCAAAATATGCTGTGGAATGTATTAAGCTTGGTAACATTTCTAGATTTCTCTGATCTCTGGTATTAGTCATTAAATAAATGGGCGTATTTTTGCGTACTATACGTTGACCACTCACTAGCCAGAACGTGGCACTTTTAATGAATGAGATTTCCCCCACAATAGTGGGCACACAATGAATCTATTTTACTACAACTATCTTACTACGCCAACCAAGTCCTGCTCATTCAATGATTTCAATCATAAACACTATATAAAGTGTGTCGTCTGGACACAGCTGTGAACGCCAGAACATTTTTTTTATGTGTTCAAAAGTTGCTCAGCTAGTAGTTTTTCAAACCCACTTCTTTTTTGTTGTATTAATCACACACTTTCAATTGTTAGGATTTACAGGTAAAAATGAAGAGATTTGCAGTAGGATTGCTGTTTTTGGCATTCTTTATGTTTGCCATATTTACTCAAATAGGAGCCGATGAGGAAGAAGCTGATGAGGAAGATGCAGAAGATAGCAAAAAAATTGGAACTGTTATCGGTATCGACTTGGGCACCACATATTCTTGGTAAGAATTTGATTACTTATCTGGATGTTACAGAAGCTTTGGAGGTCTGACAAAAATTAAAACTTCTTTCTAAGTGAAGAAAACAAATACTTTTTGGATAGAAGACACTTCAATGTCAGTTAGGACATATTTGTAGTATTTTTATTTTGCCAGTGTTCAAATATACAATTACTATTGCATTTTCAGTGTTGGTGTTTACAAGAATGGCAGGGTAGAGATCATTGCCAATGACCAAGGTAATCGAATTACTCCATCATATGTGGCCTTCACATCAGAGGGGGAGCGTCTCATTGGTGATGCTGCTAAAAATCAGCTGACTTCAAATCCAGAAAATACAGTGTTTGACGCCAAGAGGTTGATTGGACGTAACTGGGCAGATTCATCTGTGCAACATGATGTTAAGTTCTTCCCCTTCAAGGTAAATGAAACTATTCTATACAAGCTAGTTTCAAAAAATTGTCTTATACTTCAGTTCACTTTATAATAAAAATTTTACCCTCTAATTAATTAAATATTTGTTTTTTCTTCTGAAGGTGAAGAATAAGAACAGCAAGCCACATGTTGAAGTTTCAATTGGTGAAGAAAAAAAATTATTTGCTGCTGAAGAGATTAGTGCTATGGTCCTTGGTAAAATGAAAGAAACTGCTGAGGCTTATCTTGGTAAATCTATCAAGAATGCTGTAGTGACTGTACCTGCATACTTCAATGATGCTCAACGTCAAGCTACCAAAGATGCTGGTGTTATTGCTGGTCTCAATGTCATGAGAATAATCAATGAACCGTAAGTATCGTTACTAGGTTTAGTATTGAACGAGTTGACTCCACTTTGACAGAATGAGCGTTTGTGAAAATTTTAAAGTTCCTGTAGTTTGATGTCTTGGTTAAAATGTCTGTCTTCAAGTAAAAATGTATAAACTCTGCTTCGGAAGAATTTGCGAACTTGATTGATTTAAATAACTCCCCGGTTCTTAAATATTCAAATATTAAAAGATTAGTTGACTAGATGACAATCAAAAGTTGTGGGTTGTTTTTTTATCTACCTGAAAAATTTAAGGCAATGGGACTAATTTGCATACGGAAAAGCTTAACATTTTCGTGGTATTAAACTTGTTGTATATGAATTTCAGAACTGCTGCCGCTATTGCCTATGGTCTTGACAAAAAGGAAGGAGAAAAGAACATCTTGGTATTTGACTTGGGTGGTGGTACTTTTGATGTATCTCTCCTGACAATTGATAATGGAGTCTTTGAAGTTATTGCAACCAGTGGTGATACCCATCTTGGTAAGTTTCACAGCTTTGTACACTTATCGTTATTGATGAATCTGTGATTTTTGATAGCAAATAAAAAGGGTTTTTGAGCAATACCATGTATATAGAAAATTGACATAGTTGTTAATCATTTTAATTCTCTGCAAGGGAAAAATAATGTACATCCTACGGTATTTACTAAGTCGTATTTAACATGGTTTCTCAGGTGGCGAGGACTTTGACCAGCGTGTTATGGAACATTTCATCAAACTTTACAAGAAGAAAAAGGGCAAGGATGTCAGGAAGGATAACCGTGCTGTTCAGAAACTACGTCGTGAAGTTGAGAAAGCCAAGCGTGCTTTGAGTTCTGGTCATCAAGCAAGAGTGGAGATTGAATCTTTCTTTGATGGTGAAGACTTCTCAGAAACACTGACCAGAGCTAAATTTGAAGAATTGAACATGGTAATATTTTTTGATTAAATTATGAACGTTTTATTAATTTTAAATGAGTAGTAAAATGGACTGATATTATTTCCAAATGCCCTGCAGTGGTGTAAATGGTTGTAATGAACATTTGTTCACATCAGCAATAGTTATTGTCTTCGTAGATCGTTACAAAATGTATCAGATTTGTTGTATTCTCAATAACACAACCAGTTACCATTCAAGCGATAGTGTTTGCATCAGTCAAAGACTTTTTACATCACAGGACTGCCTTGTCACTAGGAGAGTGCAACTTAGAGGTGTATTCGTTGGTTCTTTTGCATCTCTGGCTCAGAGTTGTATTTCCCAGTTTCATCATCTGAATGGACTGCATTGTCTGTTACTGACCCCAATTGCATTTTTCTCAACAGGATTTGTTCCGATCCACCATGAAACCAGTACAGAAAGTAATTGATGACTCAGACCTTCAGAAGCACGAAATCCATGAGATCGTTCTTGTTGGTGGCTCAACTCGTATTCCTAAAGTACAACAGTTGGTGAAGGACCTATTCAATGGCAAAGAACCATCGCGTGGTATTAACCCAGATGAAGCTGTGGCTTATGGTGCTGCTGTACAAGGTGGTGTGCTTGGTGGAGAGGATGAAGCAAGTAAGTTGATATACCCATTGTTATTTGCTCATTTTGTAAATTCCAAAAACTATGCTATGTTAATTTATAGGAAATCAAACATAATTGTAGGCAAAACAAATTCCGGTACTGACAAGTTTCAATTTATTGCAAATTGTGATTTTAAATTAATTTAAATTGTGTACCTGCTTATTTTGAATTATAAAACAGAATGTAGGCATGCTAATCAAGTTGTGGGCGTTTTTTTGCTGTATCTAATCAATAATACTTTTTCTTGTTTTTAGGTGACTTGGTGCTTTTGGATGTTAATCCGTTGACTATGGGAATTGAAACTGTTGGTGGTGTAATGACCAAACTTATCTCTAGGAACACTGTCATTCCAACCAAAAAGTCACAGATCTTTTCCACAGCTGCTGATAACCAGCCAACAGTCACTATCCAAGTTTTTGAGGGAGAACGTCCAATGACAAAAGACAACCATCTGTTGGGTAAATTCGATTTGAATGGCATCCCACCTGCTCCACGAGGTGTACCACAGATTGAGGTCACTTTCGAAATTGATGTCAACGGTATCTTGAGAGTATCCGCGGAGGACAAAGGCACTGGTAACAAAGAAAAGATTACTATCACAAATGACCAGAACAGACTTACACCAGAAGACATTGAGAAAATGATCCAGGATGCAGAATTATTTGCAGATGAGGATAAGAAACTGAAAGAACGAGTGGAAGCAAGAAATGAACTTGAAGGCTACGCATATTCTTTGAAAAACCAAATAGCCGATGAGGAAAAATTAGGTGGCAAGTTAACAGAAGAAGAAAAAGATACTATTTCCAAAGCTTGTGAGGAACAAATAGAGTGGCTTGAGGAAAATCAAGACGCAGATACAGAAGACTTTAAAGAACATAGAAGTGTCCTCGAGGAAATTATTAAACCAATTGTTTCCAAACTTTATGAAGGTGCTGGTGGTGCTCCACCACCGGAGGAGGGTGCCCCAGATGAAGATGACTGGGACAGAGATGAACTTTAATAGAGCAATTTTTTTTAAAAAAAATATATGTTCCTCTTTCAGTTTTGTCAATTTGGATGAGAAAAAACATTCCATATTTGATGAAACTAAAACTGGATGAAAAGCATGCCTGACAACATTTGTCATTGTACAAAGGTTTACATATTAGTGTTTTGAAATGAATGGTTTCAGGCATGCATGGAGAGTTAGGACTAAGTTCATTTTATTACTACCAAATTGTTTTGGGGGTCTTCTCAAAAAATTGGTTAACTTTATTTTTAGTCACATCCTTAACTCACTACCTGCTTGTTCATGCAACCATTATATTGTTTTTTTTTGAGATGATCCCTCATTTTAAGTTAAACTTCTTTATTGTCATCCTACCACCTTGTAGTTTTCCGTTCAAAATTAAGTTTTATTTTTCGCATTTTTGAATCTTACTGCCAAAAATGTGTAGTTGCCATGTCTCTCCTATAACCTCTCCTTGCATAGTTTGACCCAAATGTGAAGAGCAATGTTTGCCTGGATCTGAAGACCTTGCATAATGCATTGCTTATGTGTTGGGGGGGGGGGGGGGTTAAGAATCGCTACTTCCATAAGACTGTCACAATTAATGCAATACTATTTATTCAAAATTGATGGAAATATTGCTATAATTTTTGCTTTCTTCATATAGTTGCCATAAAATCCATTCAAAGTGGGCCCTCATCGTACTTTTCATTTCTATTTTGTTTTCAAACAAGAGTATTTGTAATTAAGTGTATTCTGGAAATATTAAAATGATTTTCCAAATATTTGTACGTTTCCTTTGTTTTAGTTTATGCCAATCTTAGTGTCGCACTAGTAGTTTTCATTGAAAATATGCATGTGATTGTATTGGCGATCCGCTCCGCTAGGATTGCCCTTATAATCACTTTTGTCGTTTTGTGGGTGTGCGTTGGTAAACCATGAAATGTGGAGCCATTTTGGCCTGTTTAC